CTTGCCCGACTTGAGGAAGTCCAGGAAGGAAGCCATGAAGCCGGACTTCATCTCCGGCTGCTTCTCCTCCACCTCCTTGATCTTGGCCTCGATCTTCTCCCGAGTCAGGCTCGAGTCCAAGCTGTTGTGGTCGGCGCCTGAGAGGGCGTCACCGGAGGAGGCCCCCAGACCCTCACCAGCCTTGGGCACAGACAGCTTGATCTAGATACAGGAGTAGTGGGGGGATCAGGGCCCAGGCGTTGGGCCCCAAGTCCCCTCCTCCCTCAGACCCCTTCAAACTTCAGACCCTAAAAGTTGACGTTCCCAGACTCAAGCCCATAGAATCCTCGAATTCCAGTCCACAGACCCCTCCTGATTGCAGAACAACAGGACTCAGTTCCATCCTTTTATTACTCACTGACCTCTCCTTGCCCCGTCCAGGAGCCCAGGGCTCCAGCCCTCCCTCCCTCGCACACCCAGGAATCTAGGATCCGCCATGGATGAGAACCCACGCTCCAGCCTCTTGCCTCCCTCTAAAACCCAAGTGTCAGTTGTCAGATCTCCCCATCAGTGGAATCCTAGAATTCCAGCCCTTCGAGCAGTGGTTCTCAACCTCCCTAACGCCGCGACCCTTTCATACAGTTCCTCATGTTGTGGTGACCCCCAATTTCATTGTGACAAATTGAACAGAATTAAGGCAGAGCGATCAATCGCAAAAAAGATATGTAATTATATATGTGTTTTCCGATGGTCTTAGGCAGGGGTCCTCAAACTACGGCCCGCGGGCCACATGCCAATACAAATACTGTATTTGTTCCCGTTTTGTTTTCTTACTTCAAAATAAGATATGTGCAGTGTGCATAGGAATTTGTTCATAGTTTTTTTTTTTTTAAACTATCGTCCGGCCCTCCAACGGTCTGAGGGACAGTGAACTGGCCCCCTGTTTAAAAAGTTTGAGGACCCCTGGTCTTAGGCGACCCCTGTGAAAGGGTCGTTTGAGCCCCAAAGGGGTCGCGACCTACAGGTTGAGAACCGCTGCCTTAGGGTGTAGAAATAGAAGCCAACTGAGCCAGTGTGGCTCAGTGGTTGAGCTTTAACCCAGGAACCAAGAGATCAGTGGCTTGATTCCTGGTCAGGGCACATGCCCAGGCTGCAGGCTCGATCCCCAGGGGGGAGCCAGGCAGGACACAGCCAAGCAATGATGTTTTCATCATCAGGGTGTCTCTCTCCATCCCTCTCCCTTCCCTTCTCTAAAAAACCAATAAAAATATTTAAAAAAATAAAAACGTAAAAAGAAACAGAAACCATATCCCCAGTCACGCTCATGAACTTCCAACGCGGCCCGACCCTTCCCTTTCTCTAAGACTCAGGCGCTGGGGCCCCGCTCGCCCTCACCTTCAGTGGCTTCAGGGGCTCCAGCCGGGTGCCCCCCGCTTCCTCGGCCTTCCTGCCCCGGCCACGGCCCCGACCCCGGG